GGCGGATGCTGCCGCCCACATCCGAGCCCATGCCCAGGATGGAGCCTCCCCCTGCAATCAGAGCTCCCTCCCCTCCCGAGGAGCCCCCGGGGCTCCTCTGGGGGTTCAGGGGGTTCAAGGTCTGTCCAAAGATGGGGTTGCTGCATTCGTAACTGGGGAGAGCAAAGAAAGAAAGGAAAGAGGCTGTGAGGAGCAGCCAGTGCCTTGGGTTTGTTTGTTTTCCTCTGCAGAGAGCCTGTGGGGCACAACCAACCCCATCCTTTCATCCTGAAGCTGGGCTGCTGCAGAGAGAAAGGGACCACCCTCAGTTAAGAGATTTGCTGCAGCAGTTTCTGATCCTGTCTCATCTTCCCCTAAAGATCTGCAGCCATTTGCTCCCAGTGTTGCTCCCTGTAAATCCCTCAGGACACAGCTCATTCCCACAAGCCTCTGCTCTCCCTCCCATGCACAAGTGCACTCCATTTCTCTTAACTCATGGTAGGCTTTCCCCCCTCTTTATCTTTTATCTGACAGCTCTTTCACTTGAGATTGTTGCCAGATAATGGAAAAGGGACTCTCCAGGACAGGTCTCAGGAGCCTGTCCAGGGCCCTACAGGCTGGGATTTTCCTTCAGAAGCACAACCAGATTTTTGATGATGCATGTCACCTGAAGAGGGATTGTGGCACATTGGTCATTGCAAATGGGATGGCCCCTTGTTTCTTCAGGACCTTGACCAGGACACTGTCCTCCTCCATCACAGTGTCCAGGCACTGCATGAGCCCACAGGTTGCCAGGTGCCCCTGCAGAGAGGAGAAAGGACAAGGGACACAGTCACTGCACTTCCCTTGCTCTTTTGGAAGGATGCTCTGGCGTTCCTTCAGGGGTTGTGTTTTGTACCAACCCACTCCTGTCACAGACATCTTTTATGAAAAATCCTTTCCTTAGGATTTTTCCTCCTGAGAAGCTGAGAGGCCTCAGTAACAAAATGTAAACAATGATTATCTGCTGCTGTGGAATGCAACAGTGCATGTGTGATTGGCCTCATGTGGTTGTTTCTAATTAATGGCCAGTCACAGTCAGCTGGCTCAGACTCTCTGTCTGGGACACAAGCCCTTGTTATTCATTCCTTCTTTTTCTATTCTTAGTTAGCCTTTTGATGAAATCCTTTCTTCTATTCTTTTAGTATAGTTTTAATGTAATATATATCATAAAATAATAAATTAAGCCTTCTGAAACATGGGAGGAGTCAGATCCTCGTCTCTGCCCTCATCCTTGGACCCCTGTGAACACCATCACACACTCCCTTGAATGTCTTTGCTTGAAGGACTCCCTCTCCTTCCATCCTTGGCAGAGGGCTGCCAAGCACTCACTGGGTTAGAGCTTCTTCTGAAGTTCTCCTTGCTCTTTTCCTTGCTCCTTTTCTCCCCTGACCCAAATGCAGCTCCATACTCCACAGGTGCACCAGCTCAGGATCAAACCCAGCATCCTGCTGTCCAAGTGAATCCACCAGTGGATGTTCAGGGAAGGAATAACCTCAGGTAACCAAAATGTATGAGCCTTTTTCAGTTAGCCTTTGGTATTTGGGGCTCAACTTTAGTGCAGCCTGTACTGTATCACATATCAGAGGAGAAATCATTTGTGTCTATAACTATTCATCCCTGGTTTTTCTCTGCTGATGGAGGTTTGGGCTGCTTTTGGCTGGGCTAGAGTTTATTTTCTTCACAGTAGCAACTACAGGGCTGTGTTTTGGATTTTGTGTTGTAAACAGTGTTGATAACACAGGGATGTTGTTGTCATTACTAAGCAGGGCTTGCACAGAGCTCACACTGCCTCACCAGTGAGCAGGCTGGGGATGAGGGACAGGGAGGGGACAGCCAGGACAGCTGACCCCAAGTGACCAGAGGGACATTCCATGCCATATGGAGTCATGCTCAGCATAGAAAGCTGGGGGAAGAGGAAGGAAGGGGAGATGTTTGGGTGATGTTTGTGGTGATGGTAACTGGGAAACTTGGGGTTTCCCAGTTATCATCACACATGATGGAGCCCTGCTCTCCTGGGGGTGGCTGAACACCTGCCTGCCCAAGGGATGTGGTGAATTAATTCCTTGTTTTGCTTTGCTTGTGTGCAGAGTTTACCTAATAAACTGTCTTTATCTCAACCCACAAGTTTTCTCACTTTAACCCTTTCTATTCTCTCTCCCACATCCCACTGTGGGGGGAGTGAGTGAGTGAGTGCTCACTGCAGCTGCCTCAGACACAGCCAAGTTTCCTGTGGTGCAAACAGAGAAGGATTGGGCCCCTTCCCCATTGTCCATCTCCCACCACTTCCCCACCCACGCTGGGACATTCAGAAGCACAAAGGGAAGCACCTTGTGGCCGATGTGGTCCTTGATGCTGACGGGGATGCCGTAGAGCAGCCCCTTCTCTGTGCGCCGCTCGATTTCCCGGAGCTGCTCCTCACACTCTGGGATAAAGTGTCGCAAGCAGTTTGTCTGCTGGGTCACTTCCAGGGCCTTTGTTGGGAACAGGTGATGGATAAGAACAGCGTCATTGCACAGCTGCATCCAGCAGCTACCTTGATTTACAAAATACAGCCTGAGTGACTCCCTCCCCAGAGCATCCCAGCTCAAGCCAGCTCAGAGGAACTGACCCAGGAGACAGAGCACGTTTTTCTCTCAATATCTCCTGTATTAAAGGCTGGTCATAATCCAGCTCCAATGAGCCTTTTCAGCCACCAGCACACACAGTGTGGCATGGAGAATGTCAAAGATTTGCTTTGTCTATCTCACTGTGGATGGACACTCACCTTCTCCAAATAGGTGTAGAGGACGGTCCTGGGGGACAGAGACCCTTCCTGGAGTCTTCCAGAGAGTTCCAGCAGGGGCAGGGACAGAATGGCATCTCTCTGGGCACTGGGGACCTGCAGAGGGAAGGTGAGGGGGATCCAGGGCAGCAACTCCAGTTATGTAGCAGTGTGGAAAATGGATGGTGTTTGCTGCTGCCTCCCAAAAGCATCTTCTGAGAAAGCTGCTCGGGCAGGCACAGTCACTCAACCCACACTCACATCACAGGTCAGCAAAGAAGGACTGAAAGGGTCTCTGTAAGAGTTCCAGCAGGGTTTATTGTAGAGCCATGCTGAAGGAGTCCAGGGACAGAAGATGAGAAACCAGTGCAATGTCCTGGTTAAAGTGTGGGGTCAGGACAATGGGCACAGGGGCAGTACCAGGACAGGGCAAGGGGCAATGGCCTGCAGGGAAAGGGCAGATTAACACAGTGCTGCAGAAGCCCCTTTTGCTCACCCTAAGCACTGAGGCATGCTCTAAACCTGTGGCAAATTCTTCCAGGACATTAGTCTAGAAGTTCCCCTAAAAGGCTCAAAGGCCTCCCCACAGTTACCCTTTGGCTCAGGAAATAAAGGCTGCTAAGTTTTGTCAGCATTATCACCAAAGCTTGCTGAAAGACAGATCCTGCATGTGAAGGCTCTGACCTTGAGCTGCCAAGTGTTTTATCCTGAGTCTGGATATCACAAACAGGATGCAAACACAGGAACCCAGGTGCTGAAGGGCCTTGTCCATGCACTGCAGCAGAGGACAAGGCAGTGCCTTCCTCCTGGCACAGTGGGACTTAGCCACTGACCAAGACATAACCTCAGCTGAGCAAACACTGCCTGGGGCACAAGGTGCCAAAGTCCTTGCACACAAATCTCAGGCTGTCCTTTCATCCCTCAAAACAGACACAGGCAGTGCAGGACAGCCTGGGCTGAGAGCAAACATTGAACAGCTCAAGCCCATCAAACTGCAAGGAAGTCAGCAGGGACTCACAGGCGGTCTACTCAGGTAAAGAAGACTGGCAGTTCTCAGTGCCACAGGTTTTTACAGGTTTTATATAATATATTTATATTTATATAGATCTATATTTAAGAAAAAAGGTTATAAATATATGTATCACTTGTAGCTGGTGTGCTTTATTTCCAGGTGTGTTACCTGTATAAATGTGAGCTGGTTCACCCAGTGTGTATTCAGAAGTGAATGGAGCAGAAAGGAAAGGGGGTTAGAAGTGATGTTGCAGTAGAATTCAGGGCCGTGCTGATGCCTGGATGTGTGGATGCCTGGCACAATCAGCCCCATGTCATGTCCTGGTTTCTCCCAGGGGACACTGAAAACCCTGTGTTTCATCAGTGTGAGGTTAGAGCAGGCACCTTCTGGGCAGCCTGATGGGAGGTGCCACTGACTGAGCATGCTGCTTTTGGAGACACCCTAGAGCTGTCCAGAAGCCAAGTTTTAGAGCCAAAGGTAGAGGAGTGTGAGCAGATGTGCAAACTTAGAGTTAAGCAGAGAAAAAAAGCTCTCTTGCTTCTACCCATTATTGGCAAGAGACATTCCCAGATCATTAAAGAATCGGGGTTTGGATCAATGAAGATCCAGTGCATCATCACCTGTGTTGCTCAAAAACAACTTCTCAGTGAGTAATTCACTTCCCCAAGCTGCAGACTCCCACCACACCTCATCCAGCTCGAGGAGGGCAGTGGTCTCCCTTTCTCCCAAGGCAGCCTTTCCTCTTGCTGGGGGCTGTTGGCACATGTGCTCCTGACAAAGCTATGGGGCCATGAGTTGGAGGAGGATCTGAAGGACAGCATCAGCAAACACCCCAGTGGGACTGAGACCCCAAGGAGGATGGTTTACCTGCTCCCTGAACTGCTGCACAGCCTTTGCCATCTTCTTCATGCCCTCCTCCCGGGTCCTCCGAGCCTCTTCCATTTTCCTCTGGATCCTCTTTCTGCCCAGCCATTTCCAGAGCCCCAGGGCTGCCATGGAGCCCCCGAGCAGGGTGAGGGCAGTGCCGGTGTCCCCCTTCCCCTCTGGCAGGAGCTGCCTCAGCTGCTGCTGCTGGAGCAGCATCATGTGCACCTCTGGGCTCTGAGGAAGGACACGGTGAGAAGGAAAAGCAAGGCAGGTGCAGGAGACCTTCCCTGGCTGCCCAGGCCCATCCCTCCCCCTGTTATGAGTCAGCAAACAGTTCAGATAGCTCAGGCTAAAGCTGAGCCCTGCAAAGCTGCTGTAGGTGGAGTCTGCAGTGAGAATGATTAACCATGACATGGAGAAGGTAAAGTTTGGCCAATGAACCTTGTGTTCTTTGGGGTGTTGGGTTTATAGGGGTTTTCTGGGCTGTGGGAAATTCTCTAGGATCAACTGAACAAATGCAGCAAGGAAATTGCTGCTCTCCTATTTCCTGTGAAGCCTGAGAGGACAATGGGAGAAGAGGAAAAAACAGCTTGAAATAACAAGGTTTCCCTGCACAGGGCTGGGGAGTGGTGTGCTGAGGGAATGCACGGCTGTGGGGTACCCTGGGCTCACCAAGTCCTTCCTGCTGCTGCCATGGTGACCAGAGGATGTTTTGGCACTGCTGAGGTGTCCTCATGCAGCAGGAGGAGAGGCTGTTCCACCCTGTGACAAAGCACGTTGTATTGAGTGGAAAATCCCACAGGCTTGCAGGGCAGGAGCAAACTGACACTGGAAAGGCTGGTTGTTGGAGAAGATGAAACAGGAAAGCCTTATAAATATGATTGTCTGGCAAAAGATTTTGAGAATATAGAAGCTATAAGTGAGATTGAAATGAAAGCATGCTTTGAGATTTTTTAGTTACTGAACAATGGGAAAACAATGGTGTGGCTGGACTGAAGGTAATCTCTTTTTGATGAAACAAGACTTTCTGCTTGCAGGCAAGTCTAAGGGTCTGAGCAGACCCTGCCAGCTTGACAGAAGGAGTCTAAAGAGTAGATCCCTTCTGTAAAATGTAACACAGTATGCTAATGTAGTGATTCTTATAGGCTGTATGTAAATGTTATAGGATTTGTATATTGTACTAGATTGGTTAGTGACAATTAGAATATTCAGCACAGAAGATTTATTGTATTGTAACAGGAACTTCGCTCTCTTGCCTCTCTTGCCCTTTTATGCTCTTAGCCCTTTTACTCTCTTGTGCTTTTGCTCTCTTATGCTTTTAGGCTCTTAGCCTCATCCTCTCTACCCCTCTCTTCTCTCGGGCCTGCTCTGAGCTGTGGCTGGCAGCTCCCAGCAGGGCCCTGCACCCAGGCCCTTTGCAATAAATCCCAAATCCCAGCAGGGCCCTGCACCCAGGCCCTTTGCAATAAACCCAAATCCCAGCAGGGCCCTGCACCCAGGCCCTTTGCAATACACCCCAAGTTCCACGACCTGGCTTCAGAGATCTCTCGTCTCTGTCTGTCCTGGCCGTGCAACCCCCTGACGCTCCTACAGCTGCTGTGTGAGGTCCTTCCAGCACAGATGGCTCCCACTACAAGCACCAAGAACAACACACTGAGATGAAGGCCATAGCCCAGCCAACATCAGCCATGGCCTGTCTGCACTCTCCTCTGTTGCTTTTGGATGGTGGATCCTCCCTATGGGCCCCCTCCTTGGGAAAAGTGTTTGGGAAGCTATGGATTGTGCATTACACAGCTTTGCAAGATTCCAGCAGAGTGTGGGACTGGATGTGGAATGGAGGCTGAAGAGCCTCTCCCTTCAGGGCTAAGTGGTCCTCTAGTGCTCAGTTTTCCGCTGTCATGTCCCTTCTCAGCAGTTGTAAGAGCTGACTGCTGCTATCTCTCACAATTTGTGTCGTCTGGGAATGTTCTTATCTCAGTTCTTAACTAGACAATTTTATGGACTGTGAACAAATCTGACTTTGGTGTCCTCAAGGAAACATTCTAGAGCTGGCAGCAATGTGGTAACAAACTGAGCTGGCCTTTTCCTGTGTCCATTCCAGTGGCTCCCTTCCATGGGGAGCCCCCTCAGCTCTGGCACTGCTGGTGTGACAGAGCTGCAGCTTGGGAGGATGCCCACAGCTCATCCTGCTCCTGTTCCATGATCCTGGCTGCAGCAGGAGCTTCCAGAAGGTGCAGAGTGAGGGATGTGAGCAGAGTCAGCCTGCAGCAGTGCCCAGCCCTCTCCCAATCCTCATCCAGCCTCCAGGAATCCATGCAAGCCCTTCCTGAGAGGTGGGTTCTTTGCCTGTGTGACAGCACCACAAGCTCTGTGATGGGCTGAGCAGATGTGGGAGGGTTTTCTGCCTGTGCTGGGAAGTGTCAGGGCATCTGCCTCCCACATCCTCCCACATCCTCCTGGGCTCTGGGATCTGTGCCTCGACCCTGCCCTTTAGACACTTGGTAAATGTTTAACCCAGACAGGCACAGCTGTGCCTGGACTGACCTGGCATTTCAAAGGGTACATTTTTCAGCAGGCACAGCTGCATTTCCAGATGGCTGGATGCTGCTGGGGAAAACCCTTCTCCTATCAATGTGGCAGCTTCTCCACATCCTTCATGAATCCAGGGTATGGCTCCTCCTGCCACACAAAGCCACAAATCCCAGGGAACCTAAAGGAGGGAAGTAGAGGGATGTCCCAAGCCAAATCTCCACAGCAGAGGAGACAGACCAGCCTGACTCACAGGTCAATATTCACTTCTCCACATTGATTTTGTCACCTGAACTGGTCCAAGACCAAGGTCAAACCCATTGGTGGAGTTCAGATGGAAGCCATGACCCCTTTCATGAGGAGAGTCAGCCTGTAACAGCTGGTCTGGGATTTCATTGTGGCATCCACAGCATGCCCTTCACTTTGAGCATCCCAGAAAAAGGTACTTAAACAAAGTCAGAGAGTCCCCTCCTGTCCCCAGCAAGACCTGCACCATCTTTGCTTGCAAGAGCAAAACTGCACTGATTCACTCTCAACAGGTTCAGCTCTCAGGCAGGCTGGGTCTCTTCTGAAATTCCTATAACTGAACTGGTTTTTCCCTAAATTGGTAAGAAACATTTTTGTCAGCTCTGACCCCATTCTGATTGAAATGACAAAGAATAAATCCTGACATCTGTTTCTTGGGTGCATGTATTTGTAACCAAACACTCTGATGCTCTTTTAAAAACTATTTACAAGATGAGGCACGTTAACTATGCTGCTCTAAAAGAATTTTAAAGGCATTTTACAAAATACTGAAATCATAGTGAAATGGGCTGAACCCCTCTGGGGAACTTGTTCAAGTTGGCTCAGAGGGCTGAATAAATGTTTTCTGGGAGCTCTCCAGTTTCTGACTCATTTCAGCCTGGAATATCCATTGGAAGCATAACACTTTCCTCAGTTCCAGTCCAACTCCACCAGCACTCACAGAACATAAGAGCTGCTGAGAAACCTTTCCCTACCTAAGCTGCAACTTTCCAAACACCAAGGACATCAGTTCAGAGATGAGGCTCTGCCCCTAAAAACCCTTTTTCACATTGCCCAGCCAGGACCCTGTTGGCTTTTCCTGAATAAACTGTCATAGGATAGGAAGAGAGAAGTCCCACAGCTACCCTCAGACCTCTGGCAGCAGGGGCTGCTTTCTCTCATGACCATCCCTACATTTTTCTCACTTTATGGGTACAGCATTATTTTCCTGCAGATTTTCCACAGCCATGTTGTATGAATCCTACTTAGAACTTGTCCAGCAAGGCAGAGGCATGATCAGAAAGGGTGCTGCAGAGAGCTGTTTGCTCTTCACCACAAGTCCAGGAGCATTCCTATTTTGTCCATCGTGTCTGGTGTCTGGCACAGCTCTGTCCCCACGGGGTGGCAGCTGTGGCTCCAGTGCCTGATGGTGAGGGGCTGGGATGCTCCCAGCTGCTCCATGACTGGGCACAAATCTTACAGCAGGAACCTGGCTGTCACTGGTCTCCCATGGGCAAGCAGGGAATGTAGGAAGCTGCAGAACAGAGACAGGAAAGAAAACAAAACAAAGAGTGAGCAGGGTTAGACCCTGCTTGGAGGGGTGAGGATTTGTGCAGCAAACAGCTGCTTCAGAGTGAAAGATTTACCAACTCTAATTCTTGTAACTTTTTTTTTTTTTTTGTGTTTCAAGGGTGAGCCTTGTTATGTTCAGGTCTTTTTTGTCTCCTGCTTTTTGAACATTTGCTTTAAGCTACTTCAACTACCACCTTTCTTGAAAATTCCTTGAAGTGAATACCTGAGATCCTGGCAATGTTTGTGTCCTTAATTTTCTTTGCCACTGCCTATTACATACATAGAGAGCTCTGTGTATTTTGGATACTGTAAGGGGACACCTGACACCTTTTAACCACTCTTATTCTGTTTAATTTGCTCCTGGTGTTGTGATTATGCAACAATGTGAACTACCAACTAAAGAAAAAGTCCTGCAAAATAAAGTCAAACCAAATGAAACCCCTGGATTTTATGATGTCTCAATCCCTCAGCCTTGCTTGGTTATTTATCTGGCCACAGAATGAAATATAGATTAAGGAGGGCAAATTTAAATTATTAAAATCAAGAGGGAGGAGGAAAAAGGATCAAAGACCACAATCGGGATATTGTGCTAAAGATGAAAGAAGCTAAAAAAACAGAGCCCTTTTGTCCCAGTCAGCATTTGCACATAATTCTCTGGGACAGACCAAAGCCTGGACTTTGGTCAGTGCTGGGCAGCTGGTCCAGCACTCTGCAAACACCCAGTGCAGGGCTGCAAGGGCTGCTCAGCCCCAGCCAGCAGCCCTTGGTGCAGGAGCTGCACGCAGCAGCACTGTGCTGGTGGGTGGGGAAGGGGCTGACATTCTTTTTCCAGCTTGGAGGAGGCCTGGAGGAAGAACTCTGCTGAAAACTTGAAGTTATGCCCTGCCCAAGGCCTTTCTCTGGTAGTGTTTCAGCACCTGGCCTCACCAGAGTGCTCTCAGCATCACCCTCCCCACTTTCCTGTACATTGATGCAGCAATGGCAACTGATGGCATGAACAACCTGGCTGGAGAAGGGCCCTACATTTTACCCAGGAAGGTGCTTTGCTGTCTGCCCAGCTGAGGCATTTACCTGATCTGTAAATAGCTGAACAGACCCCTAAATCAGGTCCAAACATGTATCTTATTTCCCTCACACTTTTTCAACATTCTTCTGGATTTCTTTTCTACCTCATCCGCTTCAATGCCAGGAGAGTGTTATCTGAGCATCCATGCTCTCTGCTGCAGCATCTGCTGGATCACAGGGAGAAATTCCCTTTGGCTGCTGGATCTGAGATCTAGTGACTGGCTGGAGGCAGGCTAGAGGAGAGCAGGAGGAACAGAAAACCCCTTCTAGATCCATCCACAAGGAGCAGCTGGAATGCAGAGCACAAGTATGCTCAGAAAAGACTGAGAAAATCAGGTAAGTTTTCTCATGGCTGACTTGTGAGAATTTAGGGAATTGTAGAGAAACTATGATAGCTTGTTACTATGAACAACCTGCAGGTGGTGTTTTCCTGCTCTCTGTTTTCCTGTTTTTCTCAAAGATTGTTTATAAGAAAGGTGTTTTTGTTAATTAGCCAGCCAGGTGAAATGTATTGATTGATTGACCAATCTGGTCTGTATGTATCAAACAGTCTACAAAAGAGAGAATTTTGGTATAAAAGCTGCTGCTGTGCAAAGCAGCCTTCTGGTGAGCCTGTGCACTTTCTTCTCAATAGCAACAGAAATTCCTTTTAGAAACAGGACTTTTCACTTGGTTCAGCCTTGCAAAGGGATACAGGAGTGAAGTACACAGACCTTTCCTTGCAAAACAAGGTCTGTGCATGCCCAGGTCTAGCCAGGGATGCTACCTGGGCAGATTTTTTATTTCATGAGGAAAATGAAATAATTTTCTTACTTCATGACCTTCCCTTTGAGAGGACAGCTAGAGACCCTTTGCTCCAGGCCTGAGAGGGTGAGGGTCACTCCACAGGCTGTCCCCAGCAGCAATCCTGCAGGGGCAGAGCCTCTCCTCGGGGCAGGGTGTGCCGTGGAGCTTCTCTGGCTCCCCACGGGCCAGAGGGGTGACTCAGGCGGCGTGACTGTCACACTCTCCGTGTGACTCAGAGCTGACTACGGCTTCCCTGCACTGCCCCAGGGAGGCAGATGAGTGCCAAGGGCAGTGTCACCCCTGCTCTGTCCCGGCACGCTTGGGGAAGGAATCACCCTAATGATCATTGCTAATGATCGTGCCCTATTTCAACACACACTTGCTTATTCAAAGCATCTCCTTCATCATTCCCCCTTTGTCCTCCAGCCTCTTCTTCCACCTTGAGAGTGAAGGATGGGTCAAGAAACAGCGCACGATTGTCAGAGTGTGGCTGGAAGCACCAAGCAGTGGAATGGCCTAAATGTAGCCACAGAAATGCTTTCTCAGTTTTCCCTGAAGTGTTTGTGGGATTTAAACTCCCATATTTTCCCATTGCTTAACTGGAAGAAATAATGAAGAACAGGAGTGATGACAGACCAGCTAACATTTCTCTCAGCTTATGGTTATACAGAGAACATTAAGCTTTGCAGGACTCCCTGCACAGCTAAACTGCTGGATAGTGTGGAGATCTAGACAGCAAATGAGTTCAGGAAGGGGACAAGTCTGTGGAGGAGAGCTCTCTTGGCAGCTATTTAAACCCATGGGCTGACTGCAAGCCTTTGCCAAAAAGTGTCTTGGCCAAACAATGGCACAGCCAGAGGGGGAATCCTGCACTTACCAGGTTTTACTCTCCCACAAACTTCTGCTCCTGCCAAATGTTGGAAGTAAAATATTGCAATAAACAGCTCTTTGGTCTCACACCATACAATAAATATTAAACTGTTGTTATTGGATCCCTTTGGTCCAGCATTAACTCTGTCCTTTTGTTTTCTTGACTCAGTTTAATAGCAAAGGACAATTTAGACAGACAAGATTTCTGCTGGCTATATTTAAACAGAATTTAGGGCCACTTTATTAAAACATTAGTTTAGAGTTTTCAACTCACTATCACTTTGCTTCATATCAGGTAGAAGGTGATATGGAGTGAGGGACAGGGAATGAAAAGCCATCCCACTGGAGGCTGTGTGGTGGTGTTTGCAGGGGTCCAAGGACGAGGAAAGAGATGAGAATCTTGACTCCATGTTTCAGAAGGATGATTTATTATTTTATGATATATATTATAATAAAAGAAAATGATATATGAAAACTTACTCAAAGAATAGAAGAAATACATTTCATCAGAAGGTTAGCAAGGAATAGAAAAGAATTATAATGAAATCTTGCGACTGCTCACAGCCTCGACACAGGTGGCTGTCATTGGTCATCAAGTAAAAACAATTTCCCATGCTGGGTAAACAATTCTCCGAATCACATTCCAGAGCAGCAAAACATGGAGAAAAGATCCTAATGAAAGGATTCTTCATAGAATATGTCAGTGACAAGGCTGGCTCCCAGAAATCACCCACTTCTCTTGGTGCCACAGGCAAGAGCCTCCACCTCCCTCATGAAGCGCAGGCACAGCTCCTCCTGCCAGGGCAGGGCCACGCACTGCACAGCCACGGGCATGCCCACGGCTCCTTCCACAGCCTGCAAAAGGCAGGGAATGCTGAGTCAGGGCACCAGGGCAGGCACGGGACAGGGCAGGGAGGGAGGGCACAGGAAGGCCAGTGAGGGCACAGCTGCCAGACTGGCAAACAGCAGCGTGCTGCAACAGCGGGTGCCAACCGCGCTGCTGTTGGGACCCAGTGCATCCCTCTGCGTGTCCAGAGTTGCTGGGGCCCCTGCCAGGGGGCTCAGAGACCCTGGCACAAAGCCCACAACACCTCTGGGTTTGATTATGACCCGTGGAGCAAATTGCCAGCTTTGTATGAGGACCTGAAAGTCACAGAAGTTTAAGTAGTGTAATAATAAAATTATCACTGGGTGAAAGGGTGGATTTTGGGGTTTTTTGGAATGGGGGTTATGAGGACAAGATGGAGGGACTTGGGCGTGTCCAGCCTTTCTTCTTCTCCTTCTCTACCTCCATCTTCTGCTGTGATGCTGGCACTTTGGGATTGGTTTAGAATAGAAGTTCACTGTCTAACATAGGTGATAGGTATTGGAAAGTAATTGTAAATATGATATACGTAGTTTGTAGTATAAAAAGACAACACCGCCCCAGGGGCGGTCAGAGTGTTGCTGGCTGTCCTGCTCAGCAGACCTCAGCTGGGCAGGAGAAAAATTGTATAGATAAGATATAATAAACAACTTTGAGACCGAAAACTGAAGAACTCCAGCTCATTCTTTGGATGCATGGGCCAAAACAGAGACTTTTCACAGTCTTAGGGCTGCAATTAACAGCAAAACTCCCGAGACACTGCTAAACAAGCTCCCACTCCCACTAGGAGATGCAGACCATCCTTGAGACCACATCCCAGAGGTGTCACTCTGCTGGTTCTAAGACCTGAGCCCTTTTGCTGCTGACCTCTCTCAGCCTCCTGTCCCAGGGGTCCCCGTAGTGCCCTCGGTATTGCTTCAGCTCCTCCTTGTCGGCCCTCGTGACCGCGCTGACCGGCACCACCCCAGCAGGGAAGTCCAGCACGTTGTACAGATGGGTGTAGGAGGTTGCAGCTGGGACACAGAGCATGCAAAATGGCAAAATTTAATGTGCTGGGTCAGCAATGACCTCCAGATGGTAACCTGCTGGTCCAGAGAAGGCCCTGAAAACATGCTGCCTCAAAGTGACTTCTGATGGAGAGGTCTGAGTGACAGAGAGCAGAGTGACCTGTGCATTCACCTGTCACTCTGTGAGGGAACAATTCAGAGTCTGCATCTACCCCTGGGGAAAAAATCCCAGCTACCTTTCCAAGATATTCCTGATGTCCAGTTATGTAACATCACTGTGGGGATTTTGGATCCCAAAAGGTCATTGCTAGAGGAGCGGAGGACCCTGACTTGCTGGAAGCTATAAAAAAAGGCCTTTTTCTGTAAGTCACATGCAAAGAGCCTTCCTGCTGTTTGCAGAGTTTTGGGAAATGTGAGACAGCTGCATCCAAAAGAGCCTGGTCCTGTACCAAAATCTACCACAGCTGTCCTCACTGCCACCCTCTGCTGCAGGAGCAGCTCTGGGGCTTTCTGCAGCAGAAAAACAGGGAAAATTTACCCATGAACAGCTGGGACAGAGGGATCACTTATTGCTGCCCCAGAATTACCCACACATCTTCAGCTCAGATGAGGTGGAGTGTGAGCAGACCCACCCAAGCCTCTCCTTTGCTTTCTCCCTGAGGGCAGAGCCAGCACCGTGCATAGTTTGGGGAATGTCCATGGACTCAAGCGTCCTGCTGCAGCTCTGCCCACAAACACACCCTGGGTGTGTGCAGGGACACTTGTGTGCCCTGTGTGTCCTCAGGGACATTACCAAAGAGCTTCCCAGCGTAGCCATGGTTGAAGGCTGGCCCCAGCATGGGACAAAGGATCACATCCAGCCTCAGCTGCCTCCATTTGGTGATGAACTCCCTGCGGTAAGCCTGGAGGGAAAGGCACAGAAGATGTCAGGGGTGTCTGCTGGACAGCAGTGGCAGATCTGTGCTGACACAGGAAAAGGAGGGAGAAAGTCTTCCTGGATACAGAAAAAAAAAAAAAAAAAAAAGATAGAATCTGAACTGTGCTTTGAAAGGGTCAAGGGAGTTTGTTCTTCCATTTTTAGGTTTCCTGTCAGTATACCATATGCTGCCCAGACCTAGACATGAATGCTAGGTGTGTGTTTCAGAACTGATTTGCTTGAGTATTAACCCAATCTTTTCCATGAACAGCTTTGTTTTAGAATTATATTGAATAGAGATCAATGGCAGTTTGTTTGGATGACTAAAAAGTCACATTTCCTAAAAGCACTGGTTATTCTGGTGTCAGTATTAAAAAACATGAAGCCAAAATACTTCCACAAAACCTTCTTTCATTTCACATAAGGATACAGGTAAGGAAAGGAAGCAGCAAGAGACATTTGCGCAAGCCCCAGGACATCTCCCACAACAGTTTCAGGATTGTACTGCAGCTCCAGGAGAGATCCAAATTTGTAGTCTGGTTTAGCACAGCTTTGCTGAACATCAGGCAATGAATGAACCCATCCCCAAAGAGATGTCCCAGTTTGTGGTAGCAAACAGCCACAGATGGAACCACAGTTGTTTCTGCAGCCACTCTCTGGCTACAGGGACACATCTGTGCCATGGCCCAGCCCCTGTCCTGCACAACCCATTCACAGCAAGTTTTCTGTACAAGAGTCTTGCAGCTCTCTCACAAAAGGCCTGGCCTTGGGGCTATTTTTTAGTCTGACCTCAATTTCCACCTGCAGTCTGAGATCCTTCCTGCTGAAAGTTCAGCAAATGATGAGTGTTTCCAGGAAATACAGTCACTGCAGCTAACCTGATTTTTTTCCTCTGAGAGAAAAGCTGGTCACTAGCCAAAAGTTTTGAATTGGCTCTTGTTTGCAGTAGATGAAAACATGTGAATATGGTTTCACTGAGCTGTAACAATTCAAAATATCTCTGAAGCCGTCAAATCTTCTAAGGTGTTTTCTTTTTGACTTTTTTGTTTGTTTGTTTTTGTGGTGGCTTTTTTTTTTGTGTGTGTTTTGTTGGTTTGTCTGTCTTGGGTTTTTATGTTTATTTGTTGGGTTTGGTTTTCTGTGGGGTTTTATTTTCAGGAAAGGGAGAGGAATCTGTTTTCACCTTAAAAAAAAAACAACAAAATATGGCTATTTCATTTCAAACACTCCCACCAGTGACCAGGCAGCTTTTTAGGAGTTTTCCCTCTGCCCTATAATTTGTCAGCCCACAGTGCACATGCATGGAGTGAGTGGCACTGATAGAGGCTGGTGGTGCAGGCTGGGGGATGCTGCTCCTCGGGGAGGATTGAGAGGGTGTCCCAGGGAACACAGATCCTGCCCTGTGGGAGGACACCAAAACAGCCTCCTCTGCGTTGCAAAACACCAGCTGAAAGAGGATACTCTCTATAAATAGAGGCAGCGGAAAATACCAGAGAGGAGAGGTGCTATTTAAACCCAAGGACAAAAATAAAATAAGGATAGACTGGAAGGGAGTAAAGAGCGTAGGAAACACGGTGGTTTCCAACCATCAGAGCAGAGACAAGAGGAGGCAGTAAATAAAACTAAATTGAAGCATAAAACTCAGCTGGTTTAAAAGAGGAACCTGGTCAGCTTGTGGCAGCGCTGGATGCAGTTGTCCAGGAAAAAACTTCCTGTCTGAGGTTCCTGATCTCAAATGACTTCATAAGGAAGCTACCTAAGTCACAGGGTTCATGTACATAATTTTGAACTCCTAATGTCTCTGCTTGATAGTTCAAGCACGGTCTTAGGTCAGAACAGTAACACCTAGTACCTGAAATGAAGAATTCACAACAAGAAACAGAAAAGACAAAGTGAAGCCACATCTTTAGTGGCTGTTCCTATGCTGTTTGTGCTTAAACAGTGCAGGGCAAATTATGGTGAATAATTTCCAACCTCAAGTCCATCACAGAGTGCAAAGCAATTGCTTAGAAACATTGGAGACCTCTCACTACAGTAAGAAAAGTAAACACACGTTACCGCCACTGCTCTGTGCTGATCCCAGAGGTTTTTGGCAGACCTGGAAAGGTGACAGAATTAATGAGCTTTGTGGCAACAGAAAGCAGCTAAGAAAATGCACAGAGAGACCATTTTTAAGAAAACTGCACAATCCTTCTGGGAACAAGCAATGGTACCACCCAGCTGATCCCCTGCTGCACACAGGTACATCAAAAGAGCTTTTGTTAAAGCATGCCAGAAGACCTGGATAAAAATCAGTGTTCTAAATTCATTTGCTACCAGTTTGGTGTGTCTGTGCCTCTCTTGGAGGTGTAGGTGCCTCACACCACACTGCACGTGCAGGCAGAAACCTCTGCACTAACACATGATGCTCTGGGTACCACCCAGACAGGGAAAACAGCCCTTATCTCCTGTGCTGATCTCCAGGGATCACTCTGAGGACCACCTGTCACCCTGAGGATCCTTAAACCCTTAAACAGCCCCTGGCTGAGAATCCCTGGATTAGCCAGCGCTGAGCCTGGGTGGTGCAGAGGCAGCACACCCCACCTGGCTCAGCCTGTGCCACCCAGCCCCATGGCAGGGCTTTGCACAGCTGGCATCTGCCTGCACGGGCAGCTGGGCACAACCAGGCACATCCCTTTGTCCAGGGCTACCCCAGGGTCCTTACCCCACTCCACAGAGAGCACCGAGATCCCGAGCAATGCGTGGGTACTTTTGGAGGAAGAGAAAAACCTGGGATTAGTCAACAGCAATGCAGCTGGAATAGCTGGGACTGCTACCCTGGGACTTTATTTTGGGCATCTGTCTTCTCCTGGCACAAGTGGCACTGAAGGACAGGCCAGTTCCACTGAAGAGGGTTTATTCCCACAATAATTTACACATTTAATTACTACAACTCTTACAAATAAGGCTCTAGACCACACTAGTAGTCCTGGAAATCATCTTCTGGATGTGGGAATGCCGTTTAGATCCTTGCTAGTGATATCCTTTCTCCTGGAGCTCATTGCTGGAAGGGCTGTATGCTCACAGCCCATCATATTTCAACTTCCCCATGCAAAACTCCCACAAAAGGCTGTCAGACTCACTTGATAAGTTCATCTTGGGTTTAAAAATTACATGTATTTCGTTATGAAGCCCATCAGGCAATTAACATGAAGCAGCCAAGCATTTCTGGGTGGTACAATTTACCTCCCTGCACGAGAAAGCCTCCCCACCTTGCAGATCTCCTCTAACACAGGTGAGGCACACCCACACACTTACTATGGGTTTCAGAATGATAGCCAAGATCCTTTTCAGCAGAGCAGGAAGCCTGTAAGTATTGTACTGGGATTTCAGGTTGGGATCCACCATGTCTCCTTTGCTGCAAGAGCAGAGTGAAAAAGTCGGCGCAAGTCACCTATGGACAGAGCAATAGGAACAGCAGTGCTGCTCCCAAGGCAGGGCTTGTCTTGGAGGGGAGCTGCTAGAAGAAAAAATCTGCCCACTTCAACAGAAAACACCGAGCAATAAAGGCTGAGGTATAAATGTTCATGGCAAAAGTGACAGATAAATCAGCATTTAACTTTGTTTTTTAATGGCCTCTGTGTCATCAGGGCCATAGAAGTTCTGTGGGGCTTTGCAGTGGTGGGGCCATGCACAGCCCTGGGCATGCTGAGGTGACAGAGTGGCTGGGTGGGCACTGAGAGTGCCAGCTGTGTGTGTGAACTGCCTGCTGCTCATGCCTGAACTGCAGAAACTGCTCCTCTGCTGCTCCTTGCTCAGTGTGTACACACAATATCAACGCTCCGGATGCACCCACTGCCCTCACAGTTGCAGGTTTCACTGCAGCCCACACAGCAATGGGTTTTACTCACAAGCAGTCCACCAGGTGGGCGGCCCCATCGGAGAAAATCCCTCTGGTGAACAGCTCATCCACCATGTAGTCAATCTTTGGCGGGGCAAAGGGAGCGAGCTGCAAGAAAAGCATCCCTGTCCAAGAGGCAGCAAGGGTGAATGACTCAGAGAGCCCTCTGTGAGCCTCCCTGCCTCACCAGTGCTCACCAGAGCTCAGTGGGAAGTGGTGGGAGACTTACACCTTCCTTGGCTGCTCCGGGACAGCAAGGCCTCATTTTCATCTGCCTGCTATTCTTTCCCATTAGCCCTAGGCAAGGCATTAATGCATATTGGACCTGGCACAGGCTCTACTCCTCCACATTCTTACAGAAGAATTCTTAGACACTTCAAACCACCAATCCTGAATTTTTTAAAAATTATTTTGCATCGTTGGAGCAGCTACCATAGAGAAATTTCCACTGGTGGAACCACAGAAAAATGTAGGCTGAAATATGTCCCTGGAGGGTCAACTGCTCCAGTTTTCTTCCCACTTACCCACCAGGAAATCTACAGGCTGTGTTTAACAGCTGAGGGATCACTGAAACTGTTTTGAGTTTGACATTTATGGGAACACAAAGCACGATGGAAACAACACTGCTTGGTGTGACGTGGAGATATCTGAACATAATTATTATGTCTGCTAGGCCAGAAATATAAACAAGATTACTCCAGTTTAGAAAACGAGCTGCTGCTTTCGCCTTTCTCTTTCACGAGGAGCCAAAGTGGAGATGGAAAGTGATTTATCCGGACTTTGTAAGGAGCAGGGTAACAGCTCCAGGCACGGACACCCACCGTGTGGCCTGCATCCTGGAGGAGCTGCCTGGTGAGCTGCACAGCCCGAATCATGCTGGGCGAGGGCTGGAAGTACCCATCCCTTCGTAGAACCCGACACGAAGAGGGTCCGAGCTGCTGTAAACCTGCGAGAAGGGGAGACACAGCTGCATCCAGGAGAGTGCTGCTCCCAGGGCTCAGGGTGTCAGGGCCCAGGACATCCCTCTGGCTGTCCAGGATGGCCAGGACCCCTGCCAGGGGGCTCAGAGACCCTGGAACAGAGCCCAAAATGCCCCTGTGGGTTTGATTATGACCTGTGGAGCAAGTTACCAACCTTAGATGAAGATCTGCAAGCCATGACAAATTAAGTAGGATGATAGTGAATTTATCACAAGGTGAAAAGTAGATTTTGGAGTTTTTAGAATGGGGGTTCAGGGGGGCAAGATGGAGGAATCTAGGCGTGTCCAGCCTTTCTTCTTCTTTTTCTTCTTGGCCTCCATCTTCTGCTGTGATCCTGGCACTTTTAGATTGGTCTAGAGTAGAAGCTCACTGTCTAACATAGGTGATAGATATTGGAAAGTAATTGTAAACATTGTACATGTAGTTTTTAGTATAAAGACATAACACTGTCCCAGGGGCAGGCAGAGTGCCTGGAACTGTCCTGCTGGATGCAGAAAGAATTTTATAGATAAGATACAATAAACAACCTTGAGACCAAGAACTGAAGAGCTCCGACTCATTCTTCAAGCACCAAGCTGGGAAAAGAAAAGAGACTGTCCCACTTTTCTTGGGGTCACTCTGACCAGCTAAAGATCCTGACATCAGGGACGCACCAGCTGAGCTCTCCTGGGCTGGGGGGAGGATGGGAGGAACAGGGCTGGTGAAAAGCAGTCCTGTCCAGAACACAGGTCTGCAGCAGTGTCCTTGGTGTGGTCCTTTCCACAGCACCTCCTGCCTGCCAGCCCTGCTGTGAGGCTGCTTCTGGGGTCACTTGTCCTCAGGTGTGTGTTTCCCTGGGTCCTTTGCCATCTTGGAAATCTAGGAATTTCTGGAGATTGTTGCTGGGCAGGTGGAGACATGGGAGCACCTCTGAGCCTTACCTGATCATTGAAGGGGATGGGGGGCACGGTGGGGTCCAGCTGGAACATCTCCTGGCAGAGCAGAGCCTTCATGCACAGGGCCAGGCTGTCCACGTCCCGTGCCATGGGCCCCAGCACCCCTGTCACTCTGAGCACAAAGGGCCTGTCACCTGCCACTGCTGCCAGGTGGACTGCTGCTGGCGCAGAGCTGCTGGTGGGGCTCCAGCATGGGGGAGTTTCAGGTGAAATGGGGGAGTTTCAGGGAAAAGAAGTGGGGAATGAGAGTAATGAGCAAGGAGGTCCATCAGGAATTATCTGTCAGTCTCAGAGCAGAGGCAGCTTAAGGAGCCTGATGACCTCCTGGGCCAGGCTTCTGCAGATGTGAGGAGAGAGGGCTGCAGCCTTCCACCAATGCTGCCTGGGTGGAGCTGAAGCTGTCAGAGCCTCCTGGCAGCATGTCCAGTGAGACATCCCAGGCCTTTGGCTTGCACATCTCACACCTCTCATGCCTGGCATTGCACTGCCTGGTTCCATTCCATCATTGCACTGATTTCATCCTGCTGAGGTTCAGCTAACAACAGCCACCACACAGAACAGAACCAATGGTGCAAAATGTAGTGGCAGGAGGCTGTTTTAATAATCCCTGCTTTGGCTGGCTGTGAGGCACAGAGCAGGGCAAGCAGGCCTGCTGGCATTTCAGCAGTTGGAGATGTAAGAGGCAAAGGTGTGATGTAGGAACATGCCATCATGGACTTACCTGACTGCATTCCCATGAGAGCACCAACGACTCCCTGTTTGCTGGGAACATAATGGGAGAAGAAATTAGCAGCAGGCTGTAGGGCAAGTCACCATGCTGAGCTGCAAACTTCCCATTTGCCCCAAAACAAATCCAGGAGGGCAAAAGTTTCTGCTAAGACTTAACACTTACTAAGCTATGAAGAAGACTTACATGGTCTGGAAGATGCTGAGGGCAGTATTTAATAATCTCTTTTCAACTAACTAATCTCTTTGGAACTAACTCCTTATCTATGGGCAAGCCACCTCTGATAAACAGAAAACTCTTACAATAAAAGCAAGGGCTGGCAAACATCTGAAAAGGAGATCACCCTGTAGTATTTGCTTTCAGCTTCTTGGCCAGAGCTATTAAAAACTGAATAAGTCTTTGTTGTGATACAGATTGAAGTAATCTCATGTTATTAACAGAGCGAGTTCAATGCTAACTTAACCCTGGAGGAAACCATGGGCACTACCACAGTTTGATGCACTGTGGGGACACGTTGCAGCCTCCCCAGTGTGTGTAAGAAGGGGACAGGAGCTGGGGTGTACCTGATCCTGTTGCCCGTGGGTTTGAGGCCGCAGAGCCCGCAGAAGCTGGAGGGCAGGCGGATGCTGCCGCCCACATCCGAGCCCATGCCCAGGATGGAGCCTCCCCCTGCAATCAGAGCTCCCTCCCCTCCCGAGGAGCCCCCGGGGCTCTTCTGGGGGTTCAGAGGGTTCAAGGTCTGCCCAAAGATGAGGTTGCTGCAGTCGTAGCTGGGGAGAGGAAGATGAGCAGGTGAGTGAGGTGCTTCTGCGTCTGCAAACCATAAATGCAGAGCATAGAGCACCGTGCGGGGACGGGTGTGGAATTAATGTGGAATTGGCACAAAGCAGATTTGTTGAGACAGATGCATTTCAGAAGGAAGAGGCATCAAATACAAGAGAAATAATTTTAGATTGAAGTAAGTAGGTAATTAATATGTGCAATTAGCTTGGATAGCAAGGGGCATGTGTCACAGTGCTTCCATGAAGGCAAACATGGCATTACTTTATCATGGTCTGTGGGATGTTGGTTTTCACAAAGGGGATTCCCCCCTGGTGCTTTAGGACCTGGACAATGATGCTGTCTACTTCCTTCACTTGGCCCAGAAATTTCACCATCCCTCCAGAAGAGATGTGGCCCTTGGGGATGGGAAACAAAGCTCTTTTTAGTGCAGAAGAGATGCCGCTTGGAGCTGTGACAAAACCAGACTTAATTAATCATGCCTCTTGTGGCAAAGTTCCCACCTAACTTTTCTCAGAGGCAGAACAGGACCTGACTATCCCAGGGAAAACCAGATCAGAACAGGTTACCAGTTTCTGGAGAAAACAAAATTTTAATCATAAGAAAAGTAGGTTTGCTGGTCCCACAATATTGGACCAGAACATCCTTGTCTGAGGGAACTCTTCTTCAGTCCTGATGAGGATGGGACATCCTGGCCTGTTCCCAGACCCACAGCAAAAGGCAGAGGAACTGGGGAGGTACCTTGCAGTTAATGTGGTCCTTGATGCTGATGGGAATGCCATAGAGCAGCCCCTTCTCCTTTTGCTTCTTCAGTTCCTGGAGCTGATCCTCACATCCATGGATGAAGTCTGTCACACAGTTCACCTCCTGATTCACCTCCAAAGCCTCTCCAGAACACAGAAGAGCAGCAGGACAGGTGAATGGATGGAAGGAGACATTACATACTTAGTTTTCAAGCTGAATTTTCAACCTTCTCAAAGCTTTGGCATTATTGAGATTTTACCTATAAATTTAATATATTTCTTTCTGAGATGTTTTTCTGCCCTGGATTCTGTCCTGCTTATTTGCCTGTAAGACAGCCTTCAGACATAACAGTACCAAAAATTGTAATCCCTAGCATTGCTGGTTCTCTCAGCAAATGAGCTGATTTTTAATTTGCAAGTCCCACTGTAGGAGAGCCCTGCAGCATCTCTGCCTTGCTGGAGGTATCACCCACCTTGTCCATGTAGGAGTAGAGGACACTTTCTGGGGACAGGGACCCCTCCTTCAGCTTCTCTGCCAGCTCCACCATGGTCAGCGAGAGGATTTGGGAGCTCTGGGTGCCTGGGTTCTGCAAAGGGTGGAGAATTGGTGCAGAGGGAAGAAAAAGACAGAAAAGGTTGGTTAAGTCTGCAAATACCCAATTCTAACATCTGCACAGCAATCACCTTGAGTGGAAAATTCTAGGATATATGCCCTGTAAACATGCAGACCTCCCACAGAGCACTGTGTGTGCTGGAGTGGGGAATTTACAGATGGGGAATTTGCTGAATCTTCGTTCATAAAACTAGAACAAAAACAGGCAGAAAGCTGCACCTTTACTGGAGAGTTGCATGAACCTGTAGGAGTGGTTAGACCTGTCTCTGTTTACTCTCTTACAGGCCTTCACTCCCCTACTAACTCTAACTCACTGAAGAGCAGTTCAACCAGCTAAAGTTTTACAAAATTTATCATTAACAAGGGGGGGGGGGTAAGTTTGTGGGCTGTTTACAACCTCCCTTCCAAGAAAATAATAGCAGGAGGTATTTCTTCTGGGTTTAAGACAATTCTAAAGGCCTGACCTCCTCAAATCCAGGTGCTTCTTTACCTGGGCATGGTCAGGAGGAAATGGCTTTTGGTCACTGATGTGCAGATGTTGGAAGGATGTGGAACTCCCTTGTACTTAGAGGATGATGGGGCAGACAGATCCCTATCGAGGGGCAGAGGAAAGAGGATGGGAGAGGAAAGGCTTGGCAGTAGGGATGGATAAGGAGGATGTAGGGATGGATGAGGAGAGAGAGGTCTGGGATGGTGACCTGATTGAGAAGGTCCCAGACTCCAACTTTTCTTTCATCCTCAGGATTTCCTCAATGGGTCTGCATTGAGAAATACTTCATTTACAGAGTCTTTTCTGAGAGGGCCTTCTGAGGCAATGGAGGGTGATGACACTCACAAAACCTTGAGTTGGTGATGCTACAAAACACACCCGTGCCCCAGCCACCATTCACAGAGGGATTGATCAGAGCTCCCCCATTTCTTTGGTTACCCAAATTAGCATCCCTTCCTTGCACATACCCCAAATTTACCTCTTGTTTAAGCCTGCGAGCTGCCTTCTCCATCCTCTCCAGGGCCAGGTGCCGAGACCTCCTTGCCTCATCCATCTTCTGCTGGACCTGCCTCCTTCCCAGCCATCTCAGGAGCCCCACAGCTGCAGCTGAGCTGCACAGCAGAGCCAAGAGGGCATGGAGGTCTCCCCAGGGTGGATCCAGGACCTGCCACAGTCGCTCTTGGGTCATGATTTGTGTCTCTTCAGGCCAGCTGCAGACACCTGGCTCTCCCACCTACTCCTCAGAGGGCTGATGAATGCAGACTGTGCTCGCCTAGTATGCAGCATCAGAGTTGCTTTAACAAAGTCCAGGAATGGACTTTGCAGAGTGTGGACTTTGAAAGGGTCTGGCTGCTGGAGCAGCACTGAGGGTCAGGCTGCAGAGCTGTGTGCTCAGCTGACTCAGCCTGGGGGGCTTGCCCAAGGCAGGGGGGTCCCCAAGGCTGTGTCCCCCCAGCCAGTGGCTGTGGCTGTACCTGGCTGCATACAGAGCTAAATGCCAGCACAGTGCAGCTCTGGGCTGGCCCTGCCATACCCATGTGTAGTAATTAATGAACACTTAATTAATGAGCCCAATGGCAAGCAGTGCTCAGCCATCATCCTTGCTCCTCAGGCAGCATCACCTGCAGCCCCGTGAGCCTGGGAAAACGTAGTTCTGCTTGTCCTGGGACCCTCATGTAGGGAGCCAAAGGGTCCCTGTGGAGAGATGGGAGCTCAGGAGATCCAAGAGAATGCAGGTGACACAGTGACTGGAAATGCAGTGTGGGAGGAACTCTCCTTCAAGGAATGACTGCTCTGTATCACTTTCAAGAAAAGCCCCTTTGAAAAGCATTTTGGCAACCTGAACCAGACAGCAAGCAGTGTTGGGAAATCCCCTCTGATGGATCCAGAGGCTGCTCTCCTGTTTCCAACCCATCCTCCAGCCAGCAGAATGCCAAGGAGCTGGACCATGTAGCCAGACCAGCTGCCCCCTACCCAGTCGTGGGTGCATCCATGCCCAGGGCTGTTCTGTGGCTTAGTGCGAAAAGGAGAGGCTGAAAAAATTAAGCTTCTCTCAGTTCTGCAAGAACCACAGGGAAGGACAGGGGGTGTCTCTGAGAGCTCATTGCCAAGAGGGAAGGCAATCCCCCTACTTGTAGAGAGATGTTCGCTCTGCTCCAGTCAGCAGGGCAGGACAGCTTGTAAGGGGAGAGCATCCAGAGTAACCTTTGCTCTCTGGAGGAGGGGTCTCATTTGGGAACTGAAGCCAGTGGTCGTGCTGCTGTATCATGTTCCCTGCTTGCCTGTTACAGACATGTCCTGTGGGATCATTCCTGTGGCAGCAGGGAGGAAGTTGAGGAAGACATGAGACCTTGCAGAGAAACTGCTGACAGGAAAAATGAGGAGGATCCTCCCTGTTTGGACAGGGCAGGCAGCAAAATGAGCCAAGCAGCTCAGTGGGGATGTCACCAACCTCTCCCCACTGACTGGTCTTCACTGCCCCATCCCAGCCTTCAGTGCTGCCACCCACACCAACCTCTGGCTGCCCAGGCTGGGAGCAGCCTCCAAGCCCTTGTGGCAGCCTCAAGTTCCCAAAGCTCCCCAGCAGCTCTGGCCCTGCCTGGTGCACTGTCCCATGGGCATCGCTTGCTGGAGGTCTTTGCTCAGGGCTTCCAGTGAAGAATAATGGTTCACAGGTTCACTGGTGCTCCATGGCTTGGACTCCTGCCCACCCCCATGCCAGGGAGAGAGTGGTTAAGCTATCAATGACATGGTGCTTGGCTCTGGAAGCAGGGGTGCAGGTGGCACTGCCTTCCCTGGGACAAGTCCTCCAGGCCTGAATTTGAAAACAAACTTATAACCTCATCCAGCATTTTCTGTGTGGGAAGAAAGCACCTGTAACCCCACCCAGGCACTTCTGGGCTTGGCTTTGCATAGATTCAGTCATGGGATGCCTGGAGCTCCCTCCCTCCTGAGCCTGCTGATAAAGAATGGGAGTCCTTGGGGGCTGCTTTCTCCTTGGCTGTGATAAACACTAGTTCAAGCCCTTGAAAACACTCCACACTATTGCATGCTTTAAACTATGACAATAGATTAAAAACCCAAACATTAATCCTGCCAGAGCTTTTTTACAATCTGCTTTTGGCATTCCCACACTGGGAAAACACTTTTGCACTGTGGTATTCCTTTTGGAACACCCTTGGAAACCTGCTGGGAACAGCCAGTGCTGCCAACCCCAGTGACAGGGGCTGCCAGGGGCTGGAAAACCCTGCTGGAAAATCTGGCATGGCCAAAGGGGAGGAGAAGATGTGCAGGGTGTTCTGCTCTCCATCTGACCTTGGCACGCTGCTCAACACAGGCTTCAAACTGAAAGGGGTGGATTTAGGTAAGAGATAAGAAATTCTTTCCTTGGGGGTGGTGAGGATCTGGCACAGGCTGCCCAGAGAAGCTCTGGATGCCACATTCCTGGCAGTGCTCAGGACCTGGTTGGGTGGGGCTCTGAGCAAATTGCTCCTAGTGGAAGGTGTCCCTGCCCGTGGAAGGGGACTGGAAGGAGTTATCTCTAAGGGCCCTTCCAACACAAACTGTTCTGTAATTCCATGATTTCTCCTGCATGCTGTGCAGGGTGCCAGCAGCCCTGTGGGAAGTGGGCCAGCTCCGTCCCTGCTTGCCAGAGTCTGCTTGGAGGCTCAGCTTTCCCTTCTGACTGCTGGTCTGTGCTAGGGAAAACACCAGATTTCATCCTCAGGGAGCTCAGAGCAGAGGGGAAAATCCCTGTTCCTACAGCAGTCCAAGGAGTAGTCTGAGCATCTCAGACAGAACCAGTGCCTGTGCCCCAGTTTCCCCATTTGTAATAGAAAGGTCACATTCTTGCATTTCCCTGGGGTGATTAAAATCCACCCCAACCCCACACACAAACACAGACTTGAAATAACAGACATAACTCAGTTAATAAAAAGTACTATGTTAGGACAACGATTGGAAGAGCTCCACCACATCAGAGCTCGCCTTGCTTTCCCCTTGCTCCCAAATCCACCAGCCAGCCCAGCCACCACAGCATCCATCCTCCCTGAGGGGAACCAGAGTCCTCTGGGTCACACAAAGGATGGCCCACGCTGCTGTTAGCTGGCATCCTGCTCTGCCTGAGCACCTGGGGCTCAGGAGAAGCTGTTCTTCTTCAGGCTGAGGGTCTCCACCTCCTTCATGAAGCGCAGGCACAGCTCCTCCTGCCAGGGCAGGGCCACACACTGCACGGCCACGGGCATGCCCACGCTGCCACGGAAAGCCTGGGGCACAGAGACAGGGAGAGGCTTGGGGACGTCCAGAGCAAGGGCAGATGGGGGATCTGGTGCCCCTGCAGAACCTGGCACTGCTCACCTTCGCCAGGGTCCGGTCCCACCAGTCCTGGTAGTATCCCTTGTAGCCCTTGAGCTGCTCCTCATCCTCGTCCGTCGCCAGCGTGACAGGGACAACGCCAGCGGGGAAGTCCAAGGCGTTGTAGAGCATGGTGTAGCTGACTGCCACTGGGGGAGAGGGGGGGTTTGCAGTGCCAGCCTGCACAGGGAGAGCCTTCACCCCTCTGTGTATGCAGGATTGCAGCTAATGGGGTGCGGGGAGCTCAAGGGCTGAGGGATGGAGATCAGCCCTTTGGCTCCCTCTGCACTGGGGGCTGCTCCAGGTGCACCCCATGGGCTGTCCCAAGAGCTGAGCTCTTCCTGCTGCTGGCCAGCACCCTGGGCATGAGAGGGAAGCAGGAATGCTGCCCATGGGCACTGGCACAGAGCCACAGCAAAGGGCAGTGCCCTACCTGAGAGCTTGGCAGGGTAGCCGATGCCGAGAGCCGGGCCCAGCATGGGGCACAGCATCACATCCAGATTCAGCTGCTTCCACTGGGCAATGAACTGGTGGCAAAAGTCCTGAGAAGGAAATGTGCTGGTGGTCAGTGGGGTGGGTGTACTGCCCCACAGCTGCTAGCTGAGGCTCTCCTTGGGCATCCAGCTGGGCTCTTGGCTCTTCTCTGGCAGCAGCCAACAGGCTACGTCAGGCCTGATGCTGCTAAAATCCAGGAATGTTTTGCTGCCTGGACAATATTCCTCCCAGCTCACAAAGCACCCTCTTCCTGGTAAATTGGAGGTGGGCAAAGAATAAGTGCACAGGCATGTGGTGACTTGAGACATGAGCTTTTGTTTTTGGAAAACCAGAAGGGAAATAAAGGCATGTCTGATGATGTACATTTTTCTATGCAGGTATCAGATGTGTGCAAATCAGGTGTGATTTGGCATCATGAACTTGCCTACATGTTTAAATATGCTGAGAACTTGCACACCCAAGTGAGGTCTGTTGAGGAGTGATGTGTTCCCATCTTACATCACCAGAGACCTGCATCATCTCCTAACCCTGCTGAGTGCTGAATCTGCCTCTCCCCAAAGAGAAATCAAACAAAAACTATTTAACCCCAAACTGTAATACTCTACCTCGATTTCGTGATGAAGGCTCCAGACTTCATCCACTGTGCTGTAAAAGGAAACAAACCCAATGAAAGGCATCCTTCCCTGTGCACACCTTCCTTCTGCCTTATGGCATCCCTACCTCTTGGCATGATGGATGCATTGACCAGTGCTGAAACCAACACCATATTTCATTCCCACAGGCTTCATACTTTTCCTAAGCAAAAGGCTATGACCCTGCTCTTATTCCACCCTCAATTTCCAAACAGTTTTCCAAACCCAGCAGGGTTATGGTGTTGACACAAATTGCTGTTTGCTCCCACCCTTGCACTTTCTGCCTTGCATTCTCTCAAACACACACAGCTGCAGCAGTATCAATAATGCAGCAAACACTGCTGCAAAACAAATCTTCACACATTTGCTCAGGCTCAGATTTACTCACTTTTCTTTCATACTTCTTATGATATTTGAAAATCGAGGCACCTGAACAGGAGAAAATGAAAAAAAAAATGAATCCCAGCTCTGTCCTGTTTCAGCTCAGTCACAAATAGAAGCTGTTTCCTCAGTGTTCAGGCTGGATTTTCCCCAAAGTGGAGAGAAAAGGAACAGAAATCGCATCACTCCAGTTTGGAGTGTGTCTGACCACAGCCATATAACAATGCCCAGAGACTTCTCCATGAGAAAGCCTTACTGCAATGGGACAAGTTATTCACATACAGCTTAACTCTGTCTACACCAGAAAGAAATGGACCTTACGAAAGGTTTGGAAATCCAGAACAGGAGCGTTTTCAGCCAGTGTGGTGATTTTGCCAGCCAGAAGAACAGCCCTGAGCCGCCTTTCTCCATCTCCCCTTTGCTGAAAAGGAGAGGGAGGGTTTAACTGAGCAGTGATAGGAATCAATCACAGCAGATCAGCTTTTCCCAGGCAACCCCTCTGAACAGCATATCTAAGTGACAAAAAGAGGTTTGTTCCATTTTGCTGGGCAACACTTGATTCCCACAGCATTTACAGGATATCAGCTCCCAGCCTCCTTCCAAGGCTGGTAACAATCCCAAAGAGAACCAAGGTACACTTGAATCACTTAATATTAAGCCTCCCCCAGTGCCTACCAGCCACTGCCTACATCCACTAGATCTGCCACCTGTATCCCAAGCCCAGCCAGACCCTAGGGAGGATTTTCATAGCCAGGCACCAATCCCACCAAACCGTTCCAGGCCACACTTACAATTTCCTGGCAAAGGAGCGGCCTCCATCTGAGAACATTCCCCTGACGCAGTAGTTAAACATCACGTACTCCACATTTGTGAGTTCAAAGGGCACCAGCTGGAGGGACAATGGAGCAGGGTATCAGTGGCACAGGCACTGCTTGGGAGAAGCCACTGAGGGCTTGAGGCGGGCTGAGGATTTCCTGACAAGCCCACAGGAAAACCTCCATCCTTCCCTGAAAACAATGTTTTCCCTTTGAGCAACAGCTGCTGAGTCAAGAGACACGGGATGGGCTTGTCACCCTGTCCAAGCAGGGGACACCCATTATCCCATACCGTGTGGCCAGCCTCCTCCAGGAGCTGCTTGGTCTCGCGGACGGCACGTCTCATAGCCGGGCTGGGCATGGTGAAGAAATCAGTCTCATAGTAGCCTATGCGGAGGGGTTTTGTGCTGGAATACACCTGCAGGGAGAGGGAGATGCTGGCTGGAAGGGTGCCAGGGCAGCCAGCAGCACAGCCATGGGGTGAGTCTGGAAAGCAGCACTTGGCTCTGCCCAGGTGCCCACCCATGTGTTTTCAGCCTGCAGCTCTCCCCAGAGATCTGGGGCCCCTTGGAGGCTCTGTACCTCTTCATGGAAGGGGAGGGGTGGTACTGTGCTGTCCATGGCTGAACAGGGCAGCTCTCCCCAGAGATCTCTGGAGGCTCTGTACCTCTTCATTGAAGGGGAGGGGTGGCACTGTGCTGTCCAGGCTGAACATGTCCTCACTCAGCAGCGCCCGCAGGCACAGCGCTAGGCTCTCCACGTCTTTGGCCAGTGGTCCCACTGCTGCAGCCACTGGAAGAGACCACAGGAGAGCATTC